CCCCTCCCCGGCTCCCAGGCCTCACCGCATCCATCAGCGTCAGCTGCTCAGCGACCTCGTCCACGCTGAAGTCCAGGATCTCAGGACCCTCCAGTGCAAGTCCTTCCTCCTCTTCCACGCAGTCCTCCGGGGAGTCTGAGCCTGAGGTCTGGGCACCTCCTCCAGGAAGGCCTTATGGGAGCATGGGGGAGGAAGCGGATAAAAAACTCAGGACTCCTAGTGGCACAACTGTTCAGCGCTTGGCTGCCAATCTAGTGTCTGCTTTTGGGAATTGTGCAGAGGTTCTGCGGGAGAAAGATCTGGAAATAGGCCCCCCTAAAGATGACAGCTAAGAAAAGTATAGAACCGTCGTCCTCTGTCACATGGGGTCGCAATGACGCCAAAGCGACTCCAGGCACTTCCAACAAGAACAAAAACTCTCAAGTTGGAATCTCAAGACTTAATAGCAATATTCCCTTTATTAAGCATTGAGGGTGGATTAACTAGTCTAACTCAGCAAGCAGAGTGTTGGTGGTGTTAGATGCCATCAAGGCGAGTACAACTCATAGCGACCCTATGAACAAAAGATCTGAACCCTGCTCTATCCTGTGCCGTCCTCACACTTTCTAACACACAAGAACCCATTGTGGCAGTCACTGTGTCAATCTCCCTTGGTTGAGGGTCTCCCTCTCCTTTGCTGACCCTCCACCCTTCCCGGATGTCCGTCTCCAACGAATAGCCCCCCTCCTAGCAACATGTCCAAAGCATGTGAGGCAAAGCCTCCTCACTTTTGCCTCCAAAGAGCACTCCAGCTGCACCATCTCCAAGACATAACTGTCCTTTTGATTGTCCATGGGAATGAAGATATGACTCAATTTCATCTGAATTTCAAGATCATCTTAGGAATAGGTTTGAGGCATTGAACATCAATGATCAAAGACCAGATGAGTTGTGGGATGATATCAACCATGAAGAAAGCAAAAAAAAGGTCATCATTACCCAGCAGGGTGCAGATCACACCTTCAGAAACAACAGGACAGATCTGAAGCTCCCAGGTGATGCAGGTTCAGAGACTAGAGTAGAAAATGGAGTTTTATGATTTTGAGCTTGTTTTAGGAGAAGTTTGGGAGAGCTGGTACAACTTCGTGCCTAAGGGAAGACTCATCAGATGACCCGAGTTCAAACCATGGCTTGTTCACTCAGCTCGCCGTGTAAACTGAAGCAAATCTTTTCATCTTAACGAAACTTTGATTCTTCAAACTTTTTTTTCCCAAATTACATGACATGAGACATATCAAATGGTTATAAAACTAATAATTCTAAGACCCATGTTTATTGTGGCTTTGTTCACAATAGCAAGGAGTTGAAAACAACCTAAGCGCCCATGAACAAACGAATGAATAGAGAAGCTCTGGTATATTCACATAATGGAATACTACGCTGCATTGAAAAACAAGGAACTCACGAAATATTACACAAAATGGGTAACCCTGGAGGACATTATGCTGAGTGAAATATTTTAGTCACAAAAGGATAAATACTGTATAGTGCCACTGTTGTAGAATGGGACTGACAACAGGTTTGGGGTAGATGAGGGAGAGAACTGTTTAAAAGGGATATGTGATTAGGTATTATTGTCATGACAGGAATCCAGAATGAAGGCTGCATAGTGGAGTCGACATGGGGGGAGGGATTGTAGAACAATGAAAGAATTTTTTTTTTACTTTTCAAAGAGTGTACTGGGGGGAGGGGTGGGCAGGGAGAAAAGTGCAACAATGAATAAATGGAAATAAAACAACAAATCTAATTCTAGAGGAACTCTGGTGGCATCATTCCTAGGAGGCAGTGCTGTTAATCCAAAAGTGGCATCTCTCTGGTGCTTTGTCCAAAGTGGTGGATAAATGCCATGTTACCCTGGTGGTTCCGAGGGTGACACGCCGAGGGGGCATTAGGGAAGTTTCTAGATTTGGGTTTGATTGTCCCAAGATGAGGGGTGGGATGCTGAAGACTCTGCGTAGTGAGGACTGCGCCTGCACCAGTGAGCTCTGGTGGCCTTGTGGTAAGAAAGAAGCTGGGTTTCAATATCAAAGGCACACAGTTCAAATCCTGCATTGTTCCTGGGAGCAGGATGGGCAATCACCTCCTGCGTCAATCTCCTCTTGTGTAATTTACCACCTCTGAAAACCCACTGGAGGGTCAGTGATGGGTCGGTCTTGATTTAATGGTACAAAGCAACATTGCCTGTCACTGGCCTCAAATGTCTCTCCAGACATTCATGTCGTTATACAGCCAATCTATGGTCATCTGAACTTACACACCGACTTCCTTGCTCAGAGACAAATACAAACCCTGAAAGTATGGACTTTGTCTCTCATTTGAATTTTCCAGTGTTACTCACATTTTGGGAAACAATGTCACCGTCGGCTTTGCTGCCGTGTCAGAATCCTCTCCACGTGTCTTCATCTTCCTCACGTCTTCATTCGTTTGTGGGAGTCAGTCACTGAGATGCTGTTAGGACTCTGTTATGTCTCCTGGTGAGGCAAGCCCAAGCGCCAGCAGACACAGAAGCATCGTTTCCTTCCGCGTGAATGCCTTGCATCTTCTTTCTTCTTCCCACTACAGCTCTAGCAGCCTGCTGTTCTCTATTTTTTAAGTGATCTGGCTTTCATCTCAGATTGGATTGAAGCTCAACACCAAGAAAACAAAGATTCTCACCACTGGGCCGATTGGCAACATCATGATAGATGGTGAAGAGATTGAGATTGTTAACAGCTTCAATTTGCTTGGCTCCACAATCAACACTTTCGGCACCAACAGCCAGGAAATTAAAAGACAAATTGCATTGGGAAAGTCTGCTGTCAGGGATCTCTCCAAAGTACTGAACAGCAACTATGTCAGTCTAGAGACTAAGGTGCACCTGATGCAGGCCATGGTCTTTGCAATTGCTTGCTTGCTATCCATCAAAGAATTGAACAATGACTAGGGATGATAGAAGGAGAGTTGATGCCTTTGAGCTGTGGTGCTGGAGAAGAGTATTGAATATACCATGAACTGCTAGGAGAACAAATAAGTTCATCCTGGAGAGGGTGAAGCCGGGATGCTCCCTGGAGGCAAGGATTCTGAAGCTCGGTCTAACATACTTTGGACATGCTGCAGGTCAGGACCAGTCCTTGGAGAGGCATGTCATAATTGGGAAGGTGGAGGGATAGCGCAGGAGAGGAAGACCCTCGATGACATGGATTGATTCAGTCACTGGGGAAATGGGAGTAGGTGTGTCAGAGAATAAGACTAGCAAATGATAGGCTGTTGTACATAGGGGCGTTATGAGTTGCAGGCAACTCTGTGGCACATAACAACAACAACCACCACCCCACGCACTGCCATCGAGTCTGGGTCCTAGCGAGCCCCCCCCCCCATCAAGTTGCTGAGACTTTAAATCTTAATGAGAGGAGGCTGCCCACCTTTCTCCCAAGGTGAATTCGAACTGCCTTCTTTTGAACAAGGCCACATGTACATTTCACCAGAGGTCCTTTAAGATAGTTGTTGTTATTGGCGGGGAGAGGGAAGTAGGGAAGAAAATGTGCAACAGTGAATGAATGAATGAATGAATGAATGATCCAACTTTTGTGTAAACTTTTGTTAAACTCACAATAAAATAAGAAAAGGAAAAAAAGGTGGTTGTTGTGTGCCTTTGGGTGGACTACAATTCATAGCAACCCCATGAATGATGCCCATGAATGATGGCTATGAACCCTGCCTTATCCTGAGCCAACCTATTTCTGACACACCTGATACCATTGCCACAGTCACTATGTCAGTCCATCTCATTGACGGTCTTCCTCTCCTGTGCTCTCCCTCTACTCTTCCAAGCAGAGTGTCCTTCATCAAGGACTAGTCAGTCCCTCCTGGCAACATGCCAAAAGTATGAGAGAGAGAAAGTGTTTCACAATCCTTGCCTCCAAGAAGCAAAGTGGTTTCATTAGTTTATGAAATATCAATCCATCAATCATTGCTGTGGGGTCATAACCAACTCATAGCTGACCCTCCAGTGGGGTTTTTGATGCTGTCAATCACACGGGAGGAGACTGACCATCTTTCTCCAGCAGAGTGGTCAGTGGATTCGAACTGCCAGAGAGGGTGCCAATTTGGGGTTAGCAGTAACTTTCTACCCACTAGACCAGAGCTGCCTTTACAAAATATAGATTATGGGGGTGAAGTGCTCCCACAGGAGAAAATGGGTAGTCTCCTGCATGATTTCTAGCCTCTGAAGGCATACTGGAGTGTTGACTACGGGTCAGTTCTGACTCCGTGGCAATGACGTGGGTTGGGGTTTTTTGTAATGAGTTTTGAGTTTTTAAAAGCTTGACTACCTACAATCAGGAGAAGATAA